TTTAGTTGCTGTAAAGTAGTCCCAATCTGTTAAGGGGACTACTCTAAATTGCACGCCCCATCAACACTTGGGAGAGATGAGACTGATTGCCTGACATCACATCTTCCTTGATTCTCCCTCAAAGCTCATATTCTCTGTTCTCCATACCCTTAAATTAATAAAATACCCGGCAACTAGAGCCATTTTAAGAGTGGACGTAGGTCGAGTTGACCGAATCACTATAAATCTTGTCTCCTCTAATTTTTTCATTACTTTCACTGCATTTATTACTTACACTTGACATGTGGTGTGCAAAACCATTTTTGTGCATCATCAAAACCTTCCGACCCGGGATGATTAAATTAAATAAACATGAGTAAGAATTCTTTCAATATATTTTACCTCTATTATTTTTCTTAGTAGATCATCCGATATAAATGGTCACTTACTACCCTTTTTGCTGGGACTAGGATATTCATGAGAGATAAATCTCTCATACCTTGATCCTAAAGGGTTGCTAAGAACTCAATTAGTTATATACTCAAGGATTATGTTATGTTTCACCTGTCTTTATCGAAAGTAATGTATTGGTGTATGTCTTTTAGTAGTTGGGGGTAATTCAAACTCTCAGTTGTCATCTTTATTTTTTTCATGGCCATCCCTATTATTAGGTTTGTCAACAGATCGGATATGGATCGAATTAGCCTAGATCCGAACCCCCTCAAGTTTTGTTGATCCGATTATTCGACGAATTTGTAAAATTCAATTCATGTCCGAATTCGTTCATTTTCGAATATTCAATCTTATCTGATTATCACAAAAAACACATGTATACTAAAAAATTAACAATAAGAATTTGGATAATGAACTAAAAAAATAGGAAAAATGAAAAATTGAAGTAAAAGCAAAAAGGAAAATCAAACAAAAGAGGAAAACAAAATAAAAATGAAAAAAATGAGTCACATATTGTAATATTCACTCCATTTTTTTCTTATTTTCCAGTATAAGTATAATATATGTATGATATTTATTTACATAACATATTTTTTTTATTTGGATCGGATTAATAACAGATCAGATTATTATAAATCCTTATCTAAATCCGTTTAGACAACTCTAATCAGATTCGGATCAAATTAATGGATTGAAAATCTGATCTATGTTCGCTTAATCGAATTTGTATTCAGATTGAAATATGGTTCATGGACAAGCCTACCTATTATGGTAGAAATAGATCTGAATAATGGCAGACTAATTTGTTATGAAAAAAAGTTTGGTGGACGGATTTTTTGAGTTTCTGAATTTTTTTTCTTTTGATTTTGTGATTTGTTGATGGGCACTTTTTTTTTTTTTTTCACAATTGTCTATCAACTCTTTCAACATTTGGGTAGCTTTAGATAATGATAAAGTGTTGACGTTATTGTTTCAGTTGGTAAATTTCAAACTTGCTTTAATTTGCAATAACGGTAGATTATGTGAATTATAATTATGCACATTCCCTTCCCTAAGATATCTTCCATGAGCTATCATTACGATTTTCCTTTTGGACATGTTGCGAAAGTTGATAAGTGATTTTACTTTGTTGAGATTGTGTTGTGATGCTGGGTTGAGTAATTGATTTTGGTTATATTTTTTAAAGAATAAGCAAGCATGTACTAATTGATAGTCTTTCATCCATGATTATGAAAATTGTATATGCATGTTGGTATTTTTCGGATATAGGAAAATTTTTTTGAAAAAATAGAAAGCCCATTTTTTTTAATAGTGCGTTTATACACAAGAATTGAAAATTGGTTAGATGTTTGATTCCTTATGGTACATTCTCTAATTTACAATTCTAAAGACTCAACTTTTCAAGATGAGGCATGGCTCCCTGTTCCAATCTCACCTACCTCAACTGATCTTCTTCTTTTTTTTTTGAAAGACAACTGATCTTCTTCTGAAAGCCTTAAAAGCCTGAGCCTCTGAAACCTGAAACACAAACCCTCTTGAACGCATTTCATGAAAGAATTCAAGTTGCTCATGAGAATTTCAATCTTTCACCATGTAAATTAAGATTTTGAACATCATTTAGGGTGCAAAGGGTAAATGAGGAATAGTTTATTAGCAATACTCACCTTTTGTATGCAAGAACTGCAACATTAGACGAACAGAGTCTCCAAAATTCCTTCAAATATTTTTACATCCGAAAGAGACGCAGCACTCATACATTTTATACAGCTACTGGCTATAAGTATTCAGAACGATATTCAAAGTGACATGGGAAAAAAACTAACTTGATTTGGTATCAAGGCCCTAACATCATTATGAGTTACTAATTAATAAAGGGAAGGTTGTGATTTTCCCTGTCATGATTTGGTAGAATCGTGTTTTTTTTTTTTTTGTTGTTGCAAAGAAATTGCTTGCGTAGAGGTTTTTTTCCTTTTCCTTTCACTTTTTTTTTTTAATTTTCCTTGGCATGATATTTGGTGCCAAAAGGCCGGTCGAATAAATAATGTTTCCGGCATTGCAGAATTTGGGATGGGTCAGATATACGTAGCGCAGTCTCACTCTTAGGATAATCCAGTCAAGCCAACTTGACTGTTTTCAAGCTTGGCTAGGGTCTACGTGAAGGTGATCCGATTCGGTCTAGACTCGATCCCCGAGCCATCTTTTCAGCTCAAACTTAACTCGAGTGAAAAAGCCAAGCTCGAATTCAAGCTTAGGCTCGAGCTCAAACTTGTTTCCAAATAGTAAAGGAATGCATGTATCAAACAATCTCCAACCATTAATCAGAAAATAAATCCTACATTCATCATGATGGAATCAACATTCTGTAGTTGAAAAAAACAAATGGAATCAACATTCTGATATTACAAGCAGACACAATTCAAAACACACAAGGCATAAAAAAACATATGACATCCCAACATTAAAACTTCACAAGATACTATAAATAAATAAACATATAAGACAAAATTAAACCCACATATGATATCCTAACAGACATATGTTCCAAATCCAATAGAGTACAAACAACCACAATACCACAAAGTTCCAATCCAATCATAATAAGCATACAACCACCTGTTATACTAAAACCACACTTCAAAAAAAAACATTCCATTATTCTTGCAACAATACCATCATTCCAGCACCAATTAAAACCATCAGTCTTGCTCCCTTCCAGTTATTGCATAAACTCCTCTTCATCAACCTATAAATCAAGCACAAACTATTAGCTTTATGTAGTTAATTGTAAATCAAGCACAAACTATGCGCGTAGGCCAACAATGTAATAGTTGTTGCCTGCATAGGAGAATCAATTCCTTGATGTCCCCTACATTAGGAGAGTCTATTTCTCGATGTCCCCTGCATTAGGGAATGGACCGCATATTGCGAATATAGCCAATGTAATAATTTAAACATGTACAACTGGGAAAGCAGTAAAAACCCTAAGTGCAACATTCTCACCTTAAAGATAGAGCTTATGAATAACAATCCATAAGGAATTTCTTTGTTTCTAGGCTCAAAAAACTTAGAATTAGTTGTTTTTGTTTATAGCTTTTGGGCTGAGAGGAATCAAATGATTCTCACAAGCAAGAAGAAGCTTTTATGCCTGGTAACAAACTTTACTAGTCGAGACAAATATCACTTTAAGGTAGTGCCTTTAATTTGCCACTGATTTTTCCGAATATATACTATTGTCATAATAGATCTTAATTTGATATCTTTCAGTTGGTTGAATAGCATGGAAGTATGCATAAGGGTTTGGCAGAAGTTAGAAGGTCTGCCCCCTTATTCCATATTAGTTATTTAACAATACACATACTATGAAATTAAACAAAAAAACGAGTGAGGTTGCTTCCATAAGTTGTAAGGGAAGTTTGAGGAATAGGTAGTGCTTATGAATTAGATAGTGAACATCACATTGAACAATTTGCACTAAAAAATAGCATCATATTAAGGTACGACCATTACCCAAAAGTTTTTTTAATGTTTATACCTTGAGAAGAACAGACCAAAAGGCTTCTCTACTTGCCTTTCATTTTTTTGAGGGGAAAATAAACTTTATCATATCCAAGCAGATATGAGACTACTACAATTTAAAATGGTAATAATACCCAAAAGTTTCAAATTTAGAATTTTAAGCAATGTTACTTAGAATTAATTTATTGACCTAATTAATCAATAACATTAGATTGACAATGGAGTCCAATATTGGTTGGACCTTTCTATCAATCCAGTAATTGTGATAAATTAGGTCAATAAATTATCTCATAAAACCCAATAGTTTCAATGCCTTTTTTTTAATCAGCTAACCACTTATTATGAAGCAAAAAATTAGAAAAAGAAAATATCAAACCAATTAGTTGCTGGAGAAGAAGACAAGAGAAAGCATAACAGAATCAAAATGCAAGCAGCAAATACTTAGCGGGAAGGAGAAGAGGTGCCAACCTGGAGACAACTCTTCCAATTATTGTAGATACAATTGTTCACGAACACCGTTTTTGTAGGTTCCGACACGAATCTCAAGAATGTGTGCGAGTACTTCTCAATGAATGAATCATGCATATCGAATAGTTCTAAGAGTCAAAGGTTGGTTAGATGTTCAATCCCTACCGGTACCTCCTCTAATGGACAATCAAAAAGGCATAGCACTTCAAGATTGGGCATGGCGCCCTGCTCCACTCTCACCCATCTCAATTCTTGTAACCAAGAAAGCTTTAAAATCTTGAGCCTCTGAAACCCTCCATCCTTGAAAGACAAACCCTCTCCAATGCACGAATTCAGGTCCAATATAAGTTGCAGAAGATTTGGCAAATCTTGTAGGCATTGTATTTGGTCATCCCTTAGCTTGCTCTTTACTAACTATAATCTAACCAAGCTTTGAAGAGAAAGTATCCAATGTGGTACATTCTCTAGTTGTACGTTCAGTCGCAACTTTTGGAGAAATGGAGGACACGAAGATAAAGATGGCAGATCAAGGAAATCACGTCCTCTTCTAATAACTGAGCGAACAGTCAATGAATGAAGTTTGCTCAGTTTTGCAAGGGAAGAGCAAAGGTCATGCGGTCTTCTCCTCTCAACCTTGCAATGTATAAAGTCTTTAGTTGGGTAAGCTTCCCCACTTCTCCCAGTATAATGTTGCCATTGCTCTCGTCCACATCAATTGTGCCAAGCTTTTGCAAAGATGACAATTTTCCTATATACGTAGGGGCTTTACAACCTAATCCATTCACTGATTTCAGATGAAGGTATCGAAGTTTTTGAAGCCCTGCTATTTCGACCGTTAAGTCTTCTACCAGAGTATATCTTAGATCCAAGGTCTCTAGGTTCCGAAGCTTTTTAATAGATTTTGGAATGGCTTTCAAGCTTGTTCCCCTCATGCTTAAATACCTGAGATGAAGTAGTTTACAAACTCCATCTGGGAATGTATCCATCCTAGAATAACTTAAATCTACTTACAACCACCAATTAAAAGCGAAAAAGGGGATGTATTGCCTCCTGAATCTACACTCCCAAATATGACAAGCGATCGAAGTTGCCGAAAACACTTGTTTTCTTTTACATCTTCTAAGTTATGTATTGCTAATCCACGGACTTTGTCTGGCCACCTTACGTTTTGTCCACTGGCTACAATTATAATGTTCTGCTCTCTCAACTTGGGCATGAGGATTTCCCGTAAAAGATCATGGATATGACATGCTCTAGGGCTTCCATCCCATTTTGTGTCCAGTCCTTGGATTCAACTTCTGTTGAGAAGTTCATTGAAATATCCCTCAGCAACTTCTACTGTCTTTCTTTCTGTCCCTTGTACTAATCGTTGTGCAGTCCACAGTCGAATCACTCTTGATATTTCAATATTGTAATCCTCAGGAAAAATGCCCAAGTACAAGAAACAATTTGTGAGATAGTAAGGGAGATCATTATAACTGAGATATAATATTTTCTTTATTCTCTCAAGTTTGTCATTGTTTTCAAGCTCGTCGCCGAGGCTACGATGAATCATCTCCCACTCTTTTATTGTACTTTTGTCCTTCGAAGCCAATACACCACCAATTACCACAATTGCAAGTGGCAATCCCTCACATTTTCTTAATATTTTTCGCGAGTATTCTTCTAAATGTAGAGGGCAACAGGGGTCATTAAATGTCTTCTTACAAAACAGAGCCCAAGACTCTTCATCAGACAAGGCTTTCATGCGATGGATATGTTCACCATGGAAATCTGAGCACGAAGTAGAAGCTACATCATGCCTACGAGTTGTGAGTAGTACGCAAGACTTACAGTTGTTGTTAGGGAATACGTACTTGATGGCTTCCCATGCTGGTATGTTCCATACATCATCTAAGACAACCACATACCTTCGTTCCTGGAGGAATTCTTTGATGACTACTTTAAGCTCTTTGTCATTCATGGATTCCAATGTTGCGGGCGGGTCGGGCTTTATTTGGAGTTGTTTCATCATATTCTTTAGGAGCTCCACTATGTTAAATGATTCTGAAACAGTGATCCAAGCATGGCTTTGGAATTGTCTTTTCACTTGGTTATCGTCAAACACTTTTTTTACGAGCGTGGTTTTGCCCGATCCTCCCATACCCATCACTGAAACCAATTTGAGTCGAGAATCACCATCAAGAACCCAAGTAATGAGTTGTTGTTTCGGCTTCTCGATGCCCACAAGCTCAGATTCTTCTATTAGAAGGGCATTACCTCGACCATCATTACCTTTACCATCATTCCCTGCGGTGCAAATGACGGTAGAGCTTGAGCCCTGCTCCGTGATTTGATATCTCCCCGAATTTACCTTAGAAATATTGTCGACTCTAGACTTGATTTTTTGTAGTTCAGAAGCAATTTGATGGCGAGCTTTTAGATTCTTAATGGAGCAAGCAACCTTACGAAGAAAACCTTGGAATCCATCCCCATGAGCATGCCCAAATTGGAGCATGAATTCATCGAGAACATCTTCGGTATCAAAAGCAACATCTTGAACTTGCTCCACCCAAACTTTGAGTTGTGGATCAGTCTCTGTTCTTACATCGGCAACTCTCAAAAAGGCCTGCATTTGTTTCAATTCATCTTTGATGTCCACAAATTCTTCCCGAACACCACCTAAAGCCTTGCCTCTTCAAGCAAGAAGGGCTTTAGTTGGTCGAGCAGAAAGGATACAGCAAGCTCTTCCATAATTTTGTTCACTTGTGATCTTCAGATAAGTCTTTTGGGTATGTAAAACAGTGATGGAATGGTTGAAGGATGAGGGTAAGTACATTGGAAACTAACCAAAGCAAATTTCCCCCACCCCACACTTTAATATTACCATTACTTTCTTTTCTGCAATTTGAAAAAAGAAGAAGATAAATAAATAAACAAAAGCTTTCAGGCTTGTTAGCTTTCTTGGTTTTGATGAAAGCTTTCAGGCAATTGCTGTGATATGTGTACTTCAGTTCACACAAATTTTAAGGTAAAATAAACATTTAGACCCTAAATTATGGGTGTAATATTTATTTGGTCCCTAATCTACGGAGAGTAATGCTAGACTGATTAAAATATGGGATTAAATTTGGATCCCAAATGACATGGCAGTTGATTATTTGTAATTTTTATTGGGGTTCAAATGATATAGCATTAATTAAAAAAGCTAAAATCAACTGCCATGTTATTTGAGTTCCAAATTTAATCTCAAATTTTAGTCAATCTAACATTACTGATCTACTAATTGTATCTCTTTGGTCTTAAGATTCACAATTTGTATCTATGTAATTCAATTCTAAACGGCCGTCAAAAAATTATTAACCACTATGATTCACACGTCAATCACATAAGACTAAATAGACACAAATTAAAAACTTTAAAGATAAAATAGACACAAAATTAGAATCCATAAGATTGGCGTGTCATGAGAACTATTACAATTTTTTACGAATATCTGAGAATGGACAACATAGATACAAATTAGAAATCTTAGAGACCAAATAAACACAATTGAAAAATTGAGAACCAAATAAATACTAAATGCATACTTAAGGTTTGTTAGTGGAAATCTACTCCTCCTTATTGTAATTCTATCTTTTAACTATTAAAAATGCCTCACATATACTCTTTTTATTTTACGATTTTTCTATTACTCTATTAATTTTTTTCAATAACCATTGAAAATTATTTAGATTAAAATAAATGACTCAAATTATTTTTCAGTACATTACCTCTGCAATACAATAGAATTCTCGGTAAGCAAAAATAAAAAAGTGGTACTATAATGCTTATCAAAAGTGGAGTGACAATCAAGTCGTATCATGTGTGTTTATATCGTGTCATTTATGAGTTCGTATCGATTGTGGAAGACTAATCAATCCTAATTTAATCCATTTAACTCATTATGTCGTGTCAATCCAACTTATTTATTTTTGTGTTGACTCATATAATGCGGGAATAAAAAATTTAAGAGTAATTATCATTAGACATATCTTCAATAAGACCCTCTATTATTTAAAACATCACTGAAAAACCTCTAAATAAGCATATCTTCAATGGTTCTCCTTCTATTTTCTGAATTTTTTTTACGTACTAAAATTTGGACCAATAAAAATTTGATTCAAGCTAATTAAAATTCAAGTTGATCAAAAATTATATTTTTTTACAGATTAAATTTGAACCGATTAAAATTGATTCGATCCGATTAAAAACCAATTTGAATCGGCTCGAATCAAATTTTAATCAACTCCAATTGAATTTTAACCAAATCAAATTTTGATACATAAAAAATTTTAAATTTTAATCAACTCAAATTTTAATACTTAAAAAACAAATTTTAATCAACTTAAATCGAATTTTAATTGGCCTGAATTTTAATACGTAAAAAATACAAATTTTAATATACTAGAATCAAATTTTAATTGGCACTAGCAGCTACGATTGAACTCGAATCGGCTCAAATTTTAATATATAAGATTTATCATATGGCAGTACTGGTAAGGATCCTTCCTCTACCATATTTTTGTAAAGTGGCATAGGATAGTGAAGGATTTTATACTTGTAAATAGACATGTGAATAAATCGGGTTTTGATCTAAATTCAAATCCAACAAGGCCAAGATAGAATTATATCCATGACTGTTAATTCAAATTTGAATCTGTTATATTATCTTAGCTAGATTCATATTTTAATATACCAATATTTAAATTGCTCGACATCTATTGTGAATTACATGTGCATATAATCAAAGTAGCTATTCAGAAATAATCCAAGTACAAGACATCAAAGTAGCTATGTCCTTTTTGAATTGTAAATTTAGATGTGTAAGAGATCAACTACATTGAGTTCAAAGTGTCCTTTTTGAGTTATAAGATCATTGTGGAAAACCCTCGCCACTTGCCACTATGAAATAGACATGTCAATGAATAGATTTTTTGATTAGTATCAACCTGACTTTGGATTCAAGTAATTTCATGGGTTTTAATTTGGATTGCCCAAAACAACCAACTCAGCATCAATCAATTCCAAATCTTAAACTTCCTTTACACAATTCAGCAAACACCTTGCGCCCCAATATTCAAACATCATGTTATAAACATCCAAATAAGCTAGGGAATTCTCCATTGCATTGATAGTGTCTAATTGATAGCTTCCGAGAGAGAGAGAGAGAGAGAGTTAAGGATGAACAATATCCGAATATTTAGTAAATACTCATGTTCAATGTCACAAATGGGAAAATTTGAGAATTTTGGTGGTTGAAGATGAGAAAATGTAATAATAAAGGGGCTAACGTGATACAGAAAGCATAGGTGAGAGACCAGACTATAGTCTGCCCAAAAAATTTGCTACAATGTCCAAGTCTCTCGTACACATCATGCTAACTTAAAACTTCATAATATATACCTTTGGTTTGGACCCATATATATTCAACCATCTCCCGTATAAACATTGAAGCATTCGCGGGTGAAAGCATCTTTTACCCAGCCGGTATCCAAAGGTATGAAAGAAAGAGATGTGTTTAGTAACTGACAGCCAATATAAAGCTTGTCACGCCTAATATGAACATGAATTCAATGAAACAAGATTCATGATTAGCTGACCCCAAAACAATTGAGAGAAGACTTTGTTGAGCTCAAGAATTCTGAAGAGACCAAACAAAAAGAATCAAAGAAGGCAGGGAATCCTTAAGATGAGCAAGAACATTTTGTACAGTAATGCAGTTACCTTACCAATTATTGAATAGTTAAAAGTTGAGAAGCAATGGAAGCAGCACTCGGATTAACATAATTCCTTACAAATAGGAACATTTGGTTCCATGTATGACGCAATAATTTCAGTATCATTGCCTTTATAAAATAGCAAATAAATCTGACTTACTAAACAGTTGCTAACCTTGCATAGCAGCTGGAAAGCCTCCATGGTCTAACCAGCCAAACGAAAACCCCAAATGCTCTAGGAATCTGCCAGCAAGTTTCCAATCAACCAACTCATCTGTGACCGCTTATGATGAACTGAGGAAGCAAGTTTGACGTTCTAGACAAGGCAGCCAAAGTAGATACTGTCATGAACTTTGATGGCTTATAATGATAGGCTGATTCAAGTCCAATGCAATAGCCATGTACATTAATAAGCCATGTAACACACTCTTCTTAGTAATTAAGTGAGCTGAGTGTCTACAAGTATTTGACCATCCCACGACCCTCCACACTGAGTTTCGTAGCTTGAAGCGGCTTCTTTTTCGGTGCTTTCAACTGTTGCAACTTCTTATTCATCTGCCAGTAACACAACNGCGAGCTGAGTGTCTACAAGTATTTGACCATCCCACGACCCTCCACACTGAGTTTCGTAGCTTGAAGCGGCCTCTTTTTCGGTGCTTTCAACTGTTGCAACTTCTTATTCATCTGCCAGTAACACAACAATAAACCTCAAGGACTTACCCCAGAAAAAACAATAAACCTCAAGAGTTCTGAACTTGTCTAGTAAGTGTACATGGAAAATTTGAAAAAAAAAAAAAAAGACCCAAGTCTCCTAAAGCACAACACACCATACACAGAACATGGAGAAGAAATTAGAATGCATTCCATAAAACACACACCACCGATGCAACAGAAGGGAGCATAAGAAAATTATGCCAGCTTAGCTCAAACCTTTCAAGGACTTGGTCCACTTCCACTGCTGACAGGTAGTGAGACATCCAATCCATTGACAGCCCTACACCATACTGCTTTGCCAAGAACCCAACACATGCCCATCCCCATCAGATACAGATTTTCTAAGAGAACTAATCTCACTCTTTCCTAATGTTCGTCCACACCCCAACTCCATATGGAACCTTGACCTCATTTGTCATTTGCTCCCCTCTAAGACTTCAATATTTCCCCTCAATCACAGACTTCCATAAAATGTTGTTTTCTACTCATACCTCCGCAACCACTTGCCCATGGTAGCTTCATTAAACCACTGCCTGCCATGATAGTTCCAGGAATGTAAAAGTATTGTCAAATCCAACACAATGGATAATCGATTCTAATTACCCAGCTGAGGGCTTACTCTAGTAACTTGAAGGTAACAGTGCTGATATACAGATATCACCAGTGTATAGCAGAAGATCGTCTTTTCTTGCTGCCATGGGGTCGACCTGTGAAAAAGGTAAACCCATGGAAACCAAAAAGCGGGGTACCGCATTGGGCAGAAGACGATCCAAGAGGCGAAGGCTCAACCAGCTAAACACAGACTCCGCAAAAATGCCACGCCACCTTTATTAATAAGGGAAAGAAAGCCTTAACCATAACAACATCGCTTTTTGCGTAAGGATGTAGTTAAGTGTTTGACTCTATTGGTCATAGTTTCTTGTTATTGTGGCCACCAACCCAAAAAACAAGGAAAGGAAGCCTCTCGGGGAATCTGAGAATGAATCGAGCCATATGAAGGGAAACCTTCACGTACAGGTTTTTTTTTTTAAGTGGGGGTTAAACTGCAGGGAGGTTACACCTCACGGACAATGACGAAAGAATTTCAACAAGGGCTGATCACACATTTTCCTTCAGCAACTAATTTATACCATATCATAAACTTTCCCTCCCCTGCTTCACCTCTGGTGATATGAGATATAAATGTGCACACACTGATGACCCAAGCTATTGCCAAATTGATTTGAAACTGCCGCAATCAAAAGTTGAATAAATAAAGTTTCAGAATTTCTCTGCTTTCAACGCATTGCCACAGATTTTCCACGTATTTGCAAACATTAGATATACCTTCCAAATTACATGAGAAACCATCCAACTCTAATATTCAATTTGCAGGGAAACATTATGCACTAAAATATTTGCAACCAATTTAATGGCTTCTTCGTAAGCATCTTGACCAGCACATAATGCAGCCAAAAACAAAGACTCTAGTATGAAAGCAGATATTCAAAGTCATCTCTGGATGGCTTTTGTACTTGTTTCAAAGTCAACAATTTTGGTAGCACTAGCAGGTTTGCAGCGCAGGTCCCAAGTGTGCTCCATATAGTTCATGAAACACTATATTTAAGCAATGTAGGGAGAGCTATTGTAACAATCCGAGGGTAGTGATAAAGCACAACTTAATCTACTAAAGTTTTTTCCCCAATCAATAAAAACTAGTGTTCCTCCAAGTGCAAGTGCAAGGTGATTCACATTTCTCGCAATAAGGTAACCCATTTTGTTTTATACAATTGGCATGCTAAATAAGTGAAAACTACCTCAGCAACATTCAAGCCAACTCAAACTCATATGAGTCATTGTGCAAGACTCAAATGTAATTCATTCTTAAAGACTAAAATACAAGGAGAAAGAGGTTGAAACAATCAACAAGTGACCATGCAAAACAACATAGATATCTGGTGTGTGATGGACAGATAGACAGATACATATAGGCTCACACACACAAACACACATATATATAGTTACAGAGAGAGAAAGTCAAAAATATGATACTAATTAAATGATTAGAGCTTCTATAAAGTTAGTTATACAGACCTTTTGACAATTAGAAGCCATTTTTCAGACAAACTAGTTGGGCACACGTGCAACCATTTTTATATTAAAATTTTTAACTTAATAAAGATTGTTTGTTCTTTGCACCACAAATATTTAGCCTCTAACAAAACTCGAACTAAATATCAAATCCATAATTGCAAAAGGGTTCAAAGACCTTAGATCAATTTTTGACATACACATAAACGTCACAAATTCGGGTATACCTTATCGAGTACTTGAATATTTAAGTTATTTTCTATATAACAGGCAATTAGGCTTATAAGGATGCTACATAAATGCGCACACAACCATAAGTACACATATACACAAATAACTTCTTTCAATATATGTCTGTACATATTACACAAACATATATTCAACTAGAAAAGTGTCAAATACAACAACACATAGTCGTAATGATATTTTTTTCTATCAATTCCCTTTCTTTTCGTAGTTATATTAATTCTCAACAACCAAACAACGTACAATCAAACTTCACATAATATTTGAAGCCCACAGCAGTTTTATAGAGCCTTTATTTTTCTCAAGTTGCTGCCAACAAACCTACTAAAAGCAATCAAAATTAATTAGATTAACAAAAATAACCAATCACAAAATCATAAATCACATGAATGCAAATAGAAATCTATAATCACAATGGTAATATGAACATGTTCTTTCGTTAATGATGAATAAAACAATGCACTTTTTGAAGAAATATGTATACCCCTTACAAGAAACATGGAAATTCAGACCATACAACCATAAAACATAGAAACAAAAAAGTAAAATTTGATGACCACAAGAAAGAAACCCATAAACCTAGGGTTTGAGCAAGTACAAGAATATGAGACATATAAGGAATTAGAAATTAAACTGAACTGCTAAATTAATAACAACGAATTTTATATAGCCAAAATCTGAAGAAAACTGATCTTCGGATTGGATGAATTGGAGATGTAACATTATAAGTGACCGATGAACTTCTTTAACTCATGCTTGACATATAAAATATATGTAGCATTTACGGAAAATACAAAAGCAACTTAATAGCCAGAAGTCCAATAATGCAAGTAACCTTCAATAATATTAGTGTTTGTCATTAAATAAAAAAGATAATATGGGCATTACTCAAGTTATTAAGGTTATTTTAGTCAAACAAAAGTTTTTCACTTTTATTCACATTTTATAGTAGAATAAATATTCTCTACTTTAACGTTTAAGCAATATCATTCTATAGCCAAATTCAGAACTTAACAGGAGAAAACTAACAATAGCCAGTCTATGAACAGAACATTCATGGACATACGAATTCTTATTTAACTTGGAGCCTGAAACCTAGTATCATTCATTTTATCAGAATTTTAACATCCCAAGGAAAGGAAAAGAAACCAACCTTCAGCCGGCGTTGATCTTGCACAACTTGTCTAGCTCGGGCCCTAATTTCATCTGGATCAATCTTAGACTGAGGGCGCACCAGAAAATCCATGGGCATTGCTTCAGGTCTGGAGGCATGTTGTCTGGACGATTGACCAGATTTTGATTCCCTGCAGTGCCCTTAGAAAAATCACATCTGAAATATAGGCTAGAACATAGTACATAGCACAAGAAAATAGATTCGTCTGCCTAACAAGTAATAAGCAAATAAAATCTGTCATGAAAGCATACTGCGAAAATCCAGCCAAATCAAGATCATCATCTCGGGATTCCATTCCTGCTGCTTTATTCATTGGCCTGTTGAAAGTGTCAAGAAAGCACAAAAGTGAGGCAAGATTATATAGATTACAACTAGAAACCACAGGATGTCTAAGTCATATGCAAATAGAATATGCACAAAGTTGATTGCAAAATGATAGATACTTCTTCACAGATGGCCTCCGGAAGGGAACTCTCTCATCATCAAAGTTTCGCATGTCCTCAAACCTTGTGCTCTTATTGAATATGGGTCGACTCTACATCAAATATGTTCAAACTGATAAGAACATACTAATAGAAATTAGTTAATAAAGAGCAACAACTTTACATAAAATAAGTACAAATTGAATTGATCATACAAATATAAACATATTCATAAAGAGATCCACACATAGATGTTTCAAATCATAAACAAATTCCAAACAGGCCCAATATATCATAGGAGATAAGGTATAAACTAAACACTGTTGTCAACAAACAAAACAACTATATTGATGATGATGATGATGAAGAAATAAAACAGTCCAGACATGACGTACTGATATCTGACTTTTTGGCACTTACCAGTAAAAAACACAATGAAACAAGAAGTATGATCTTTGAAAGAGGAATAATACATAGACCACCTACACCAGTGACATACTATATCCTGCGGTATACAAATCCCATACAATTTCTTGTAATTGCTGGGAAGCCAAAAAATTGGGGGGGGGGGGGAATTACCCATTTATCAACCAAATCCTTAGCCATTCTTCTGTTAGCTGTGGTCTCCTCATCAGACTTTGACAAAAACATTATGACCTGTGCAATACAAAGTAAATCAGTACATAGTTGCTGCTTATAAAGTACGTAGTTTGGTTGAAGATTGTTCAACCAAACTAGATAATTATTAATTTCTTATTGATGAGTGGCTGTAGCTTCATAGGGAAGACTCTAACCTTCCCAAGACCACTCTTCTTCAATTGTTCTCTTCTATCATACTGCTCTAAATCAATTGGAAACTGCATCATCAGCGCAGCATTTTAGGGTCTACAAATTTGCCACTCAAAGGAATAAGAATCACTGTATGGCAAAGAATAAGATGAAAGGATTCCTATTTGTACATCAGTCAAGATCTTCAATACAGCAGCACGGATGTTTATGTTGGGTAAGCTTCCATCTGGAAGGGGTTCAAGCCAGGTCTTCAGAAGTGCCAATACTCCATGATCTAAGAATTCTTGTTGAAGCTGTTTCCTGCACCAAAATCAATTGAATTGGGACCTAAGATCAAAATTTGCAATGGAAACACAACGGCAAAACTATGAGAAGCCACCACCATACTTTGAAAGGACCTCTGTGAGAAGAGGCAGCTTTTTGAGCTTATTAATGGCGGGTTTTGACTGTCTATTCAGTTCTGCATCTTCTTCGGCAACAAATTCAAGCTCAGCCATGACACTTTCTACTAGCAATGCGATTTCTGCAGCACTTTTCTCATTCTTCTTCTTTTTTTTGCCCATCTTGAAGAGCTGCTTGATTTCGTCATCCTCTTCACCCTCTTCCGCCTACCAAAATAGCATAGTAAAAAAACCAGTAAGTCCTTTGGAAGTTAAGAGCAGAACAAGAAACCTTTAAAGGCAATACACTGTCAGTACTAAGAATGTTTTTAAGTAATGATGGTGCTAACCTCAGGAGCATCACCAGGGGAGTGCGGTTCATTGTTAATTTCATACAGATCAGCAGGATCCACACCACTGTCATCTATGAAGTTATCATCAGCCAATGTCCTAGGACCTTCTTGATCATCCTATACCATTTCAGAAGCCAAAAAATAAAAAGGAATACTGTAGTAATGGGTGCAAAGCATATATTACCAGGAAAAAATATTTAAAAGGAGCACAACACAGCATGATGACAAAAATGAGTGTGGTCAGGAAACTTGAAACCACATAAATGAAAAGCGTCGCTTTTTACTGTCTGCATCACTGTCGCGCCAAAAAAAAAAAAACACAAATGATTTAGCAATCTCAGCAATCATTACAACTCTAGTTTGAACATTTTCCACACTGACAAACAACAAAACAGTAATTATAAATTTAATGGGGCAACTGAAGTACAGAACATGAGAATAGCACAAACTAGAAAGATAGCATTCCCGGACAGGTATAATTTCCTTACATTAACAAGAACTCAATTTACAAGACTCTGAGAAGCATGAATAGCAGGAATTCAACTTTTTGGAACATTGGATGAACTAGTAAAGCCATACTTTTCTGCACAAACAGCACCATTTTTGCCTTGAATAAGGAGGCATAACAAATAAACTGAAAAAAATATTCTTCCAGACAGCCAAACAAAACTGGACCATCTTCTGATTCAGAAACTACACAAAATATTCAATCTTCTGAAAAATATGTCATCTGACAAAACTATTCCTTTTGCACACAGTGAAACCTATCTTCTCTAACTAAAGTAACAAAAACCTAGCTCTCATAAAGATTCTATTAACCATCAACCCAATATTCTTTAAAGTTTAAACAAACCAAAACATTTTATCACTGAATTCTGGACAATCTTACAAGTTGCAAAACATAATTGTATCACACTATCATGGGGTTTATAGAGAACACATCTTTAATCTTGCAAACACAAGTCAGCTCTAAACCAATACTATAGTAACAATTCCCATTCCCATTCACAACCATAGCAAAAGAAAAAAAAAGTTGGTGGACACAATTAAACCCAGAAAGCATTGCTAAATCACTGTATCAAAACCCACAGCGCACCTATGAATCAGAAATTTTAAAGAGCTCCAAAACGATGTACCACTACAGAATACAAACCTCAGAATCGCCACCAGCAATCGTGTCCCACATCTCCTTGACCTCCGCATCACCTTCCTGATCCCTGGACCGCCCTCCTGAGTACCCTCCACTCCTCCTTGTCTGAAGAGTCTTCTCACCGCCATGCTTCGACTTCAACTTCTTTTCTCTCTTCTTCCCACCACCATCCTTCCCAAGCTTCTTCCTCTTTCCACCTCCAGACGAGGTCGCAACATCACCGTCCGAATCATCCCTCACAAGCCCCACCACATCATCATTGTAATCGTCATCAAAATTGGAATTATTATCAAAACTTGTTGAGCTTTTCTTGATCAACCTTTTCCGGGGCTTCGATTTCGAATCGGACTCGTTGAATACCGGGGTTGGAGACCGGTCCTCTCGTTGTTGTCTTCCCCAATCGTCGTCGTCGAGGTTGTCATCAAGGAGGTTGGGGTTGGGATCTACTTGGTGTTCGTCTTCGGATTGGACTTCGTCGTAGTCCATCAATGGCTCTCCATCTTCGTCTCGGTACCTGAAAAAGAACAATTAATCGATTGAGTTTCAGAAACCCTAACCCTAATTTAATGATAGGAAGAATGTAAGACTCACGGATCGTTTTCGTAACCCATTGGTGATTGTTGAATGTTGATAGCTCTCAAAGGTGAAATTGCGAGAGAGAGAATAGGCAATGTTTATGTTTCTGTGCGTGAGAGAGAGGGAGAGAGAGACCGCTGGACTGAAGCTCACGGATTGAATACCAGCGAAACAGAGAGACGGAGAAGAGGATTTTGGGTTTTTCTACGATGACCATGTCGGTTATGGTCATCCGTCGACGGATAGGAAAACTAACGGTGACACAGGCCATTAATGTCCCGTGATGTTATTAATAAAGTAATAGCATGCCATGAGTTAATGGATTCTGTCGATTTAATAATTATCAATAATTACTTTATGTAATAGTTGGCGTACTAAGATTCATCAACTTTATTTATTACTTTATAATTAATTGATGACTTTACTTATTATTGGTAACATAATATTACTGTTACTATCACATCTCATCTCGAGAGACTGTCTTATGCTCTGTTTGATACGAAAAAAAAAAAGTAGAAAGGATTGAAATAGGAGGGATATACTCTATCCTTCAAGAATGAAAAGTAGAAATAATATATTTTTTTTTATTTGTGTTTAGTTGGATGGATAGAAAATAAAAATGACTAATTTTTTTTTTTACTGGCTACGATTAAAAATGACAATCGACTCGTGTCGTATCAGATTAATGTTGCATCATAAAATTGTGAATCTTTTATATTTCTTATTCACGTGTTAGGTCATTTTCAAGTTTATGTCGAGTTCGAGTCGTGTCATCGTATTGAGTCAAAAAATTTCACCCCTAGTTAAAATGAATTTTTTTTTTAATTTAAAAAAAAAAATTGTTATATATATATATATATATATATATATATATAT